TAAAAGTTTGCAAATCTAATTCGCTGTCACTGTTCAGAAATTTCTAACATTCCAGCATTAAAACTTGCAAACTTGGTAGCATCGAACTTGCAAGCTCCTATTCAAATCAAAATCGTCGAATTCTCCAATTCCATGATTTTTAGAAACCATAAGTCCTCGGAGTATCGCGATAGCATTCCAAAATTGTGTACTCCGAAGCAATATTAAATATTACGAGTCTCGTTGAGAAATTCTGAAATTTCCAAACTTCTTTGTCTTCATGCCAACTCCCAAATTTATCACTAACTAATAAACTCCAAGTTCTAAGATCTTCAGCTTCTTTAAGAAACCTTCGTTCCAACAATTAGACGCTCCTATCCCCAGAAGATCGAATCAAAATCGTCGAATTTTCCAATTCTATGATTTTTAGAAACCGTAAGTCCTCGGAGTATCGTGATAGCATTCCAAAATTGTGTACTTCGAAGCAATATTAATTATTAGGAGTCTTATTTTGAAATTTTCAAACTTCTTTGTCTTCATCCCAACTCCCAAATTTATCACTAACCAATAAAATCCAAGTTCCAAGATCCTCAGTCACTTCGAGAAATTTTCCTTCCAGCAGTTAGACGATTCTCTGTGAAATGTGGAATCTAGGGGGTGGGAAAAATCAAGGGACACGCTTCCCTGGATGTTTGTCCTCACCTGTAAACGACGTAGCCAGCGTCGTTGGTCAGCTCGCAGATCCAGGGACACGGTTTCACAGGGACGAGGATGGTGGTGGTGTTGAACGGGCCGTTCTGAGCGGATGTCACGTTGTGCGCGGGATGAGACTGCGGGACGAGAGCAAGAAAGTACAGAGACATGGTATAACGAGCGAACAAACTGTCGACATCGCTGATAGTTACCCGTTTGTCTTTCCAGCCGACCAGGGGTGGGAAGCAGATGACGAAGCTCAAGATCCACACGGTTGCGACCAGCAGCCTCGCCCTCCTCGGTGACATGATCTAGATTTCAAGAGTAGACTAGGGTTACTCATCGCGAAACGATTTAGCAAAACGGGGTAAATTGGACTCGATGGGAGTTAGGAAAATTAGGATGGAATTTCAGAGTGCCAGAGTTCAGAAAGTTTCTTTGGGCAAACCTAATTGCCAATATGTCATTGACATTTATGCCATATAATACCATTGCAATTTATGCCATATAATGTCATTGCCATTTATTTCTAATTTTATGAGAATTTTTGCGATCAAATTCAAAATTTTTTGGAAGCTTATATATGACTTCGACATATATATGCAAACGTGTTGGAAATATTGGAATATTTTTCACAGCTATTAAAAATTTAAAAAATTTTAAGAACATTCAGAGATTGTAGAAAATTTTTGAAAACTTCGAAGAAATTTGAAATCTTCGAAAATATTTAGAAATTTCTAGATGCGTACGTGAACCTCGAAATTATGTTACTAATGTACAACCCCCAGAGAAATTTTGACGATTTTACAAATTTTCGAATAGGTACCTCTCAGCATATAGAATCTTTAATATTCTCAGGATCTTTTGATAACATTCAATGTTCTTCGAGATTTTATAAAACCCATTAACCCTTTCACTGCCACGCCAAAATCACATCTTTCCTCCAGAACGCCATGGGAGTGTTCTAATATTTTGTTCATGTTCTAATAAAAATTTTTAATTGTTCAATGAGGTACTTTTTATTTCAATGTATCTTCTAATTAGCGGTTATATTTAAAATGCACTCACTGTCAATTTTTATTCAATTTTCTTTAATGTAGTTTAATCAGTTCAAGTGCTCTGGTCACCAATGACCACCGTGGTGTCACATCAGAAACCGTGGCCGGTTATATATGACCAACGTGGCAGTCAAAGTGTTAAAAGCCTCCAATAATTTTCCAAAAATCTCGTAGCCTGAAATCCTCGAAAAACTCCCAATATTCTATTAATAATTTTAGTCTACGAATTTTACGAAATTTACGAATTTTAATCTACTGATATCTCCAACTAAAATTCTCTGCATTAAAATTCGAATACAATCTCCAATATCCATCAAGAATTTCTCAAATATCACTGTCTCTTAGTTCCCACTTTCCAAACATCGGTATGCACACTGTCCAGATTGCAGGACCAAGATTGTGCATCGAGATGCTCGAAACAGCGGGAGAACTTCGATCGTGTCTACAAATAACATTATCAAGCAGAAAGTCAAACGCTGCAAGTTCAACAAACGGTCGATCAATTAACCATTTCGATGAGAAACGTTCAGGACACCGGCTATTCGAGGGAGAGGCGCAGGGGGTTGAAGAGAATGGGGTGGCCGGAGGAGACAAATGGCTTCATCGAGCGTTCCCATGGCCGCACACCTGTTCCATGAAATCGAATAATCGGTAAATGGTACTTGCCTGAGGATAACTGACTGGCCTGGTCACCGCTAAGTATCTATCCAGGCTGATGGCACACAAATTCAATATCGACGCCGTGCACATCCATACGTCCACCGCCAGCCAGAAGGAGCACCATAGATCACCGAATATCCAGACCTTCGAAAGGCGAATCGCAGTGGAATCCATTAGTTTCGAAATCAATTTTGCGTCGTTTCCAAAGTTCGTTTCGAACCGTGGAAATGGTCGTCAGTGGCGTAAAGCCTGGAATTTTCTTTGGTTAGGCCATTCAAAGTCTGGTTGGCTCGTCTTATGGAGGAAGACTCGCGTAAAAGTGTCTTCGACCAGGCTTTTAAAACATGATTATGATTGGCATTTAAAAAATGATATAAAAATTGGTATCTCATTTTATAAGAGGGAATTTTGGAAATTTCTTGAAGAAGGGATTTGGGAGAAATTATTTGGTTTCGTCCCGGAAAATCCATTGTATTAGGCAATAATTACTAGGTACGAAATTATTGGCACATTACTTGGTAATAATAATTACTCTCATGAATGATTTATGAGAGACAAAAATGGCCATTGTATTATTTAATTAAGTTTTCCGAATAAAATTAATCTTCGATCCAAAATTTCTCTCTTCAGAAAATTGTGTCCGATTTTAAATCGTATTTTATATATTTACAATTCTTTCTTAATTTTTAACCTTCATTAAATAAATTTGCAATTATTTTTACATTTTTATGTTCGGAAAATTAGGTACTATATTTTCTATTTTTCTCATAAAATAGAACCGAGTAATTTTTCCTTCTTCATAATAGAAACAAATTTTGGATTATTTTCAGCAACTTCTCATGTTTTGTAAATTAAATAACATCTTTTTGCAGTCTACTTCTTACCTGCTTCGCAAAAAGCATGCATTTGGGAGCATTTCCAACAAACTTTCCAAACTTAGAGACGTAACGTATCCCGCGAGTTATTTACATGTCAATAATTTACCTCTCCCCCCAAATATACATATTTAATAATTTAAAAGGAAGGATAACAATTTGGCAAGACGAGAATGTAAGAATATTTTTGCCACGCTTTTCGGAGAGCCTGAAAATTAAATCGGGTATGATCGGAAAAATTGAATCTCGTTAGAAACTCACGCGAATCGGATGGAGAACCGAGAGATCTTCGGATCTCGATTGTGTCCGGGATTTCTATTCGTCTCGACTCGTATAAATCTTTCCACGATGGCTTTATGGTTTCTCGTTGTCCCCCAACCCCTTCGTTTTTAGGCAGCCGAGTTGCACACTCGAATCCACGTTTCAACGATACATCCTCCACTAGCTACAATACCTTCATCCATCCCCATTCTACGTTTCAATCTCCTCGTCTTCTCTCGAACATCGAAACCGATACCCTATCCTACTGCCTGGCAAAGCCGAGTCGAGAAAGTCGCTACGTTTATGGGAAACGCGGACGATTTTTAAGATTTCTGCATCTTCGAGATCCTTGTGTTTCTTCTCTTACGTCAGACATATTGGATTACCTCGGGGATATTTATAGATCATTTGTAAAATAACGTTTGGGAAAATATTTATTATCGAGGGAATTTTTGTACGTGGTTCATGGATAACGTGACATTTATTTATTTTTATTTTTATTTTAATCGATGGTTTAGACAAGGGTGTAGACTTTTATTTGGGGAAAATGAAGTGGTTTGACGGAAGATAAGAAAAAGGAAGATTGGACAAAATTTTTCCGAAGTATTTAATTTAACTAGATAATTAATTTTCCTTTTTTCTTCTTAAATATTTTCCTCAGCATTGAGAATTATACCATTGTATCAGGAAGATCGGAAGGGTATAGTAAGAAATACGTGTATAGAATTTTTATGATAATTATGTAAATTAATATCTCATAATTATTATAAGAAATAAAAATATATTATTCTTAGTAAAGGACTATATTCCAACTCTCGATGACTCGATTACCGAAACTCTATCGAACGGCCATTATAACGGTACGTTATCTCCGAGCTAAGACCAGAATGCACCCCGACACCTCGATCGAGCCTTCACGCCAGGGTGTCGCGCATAATGCACCCCCATGCAGCAGGTGCAACGGGGTTTGCAAGCGACTGCACACGGCTGCTGGCCGGTGCAACCACCTGTTTCGAATTACCCTCGACTCCTGTCCACGCCGTTGTTCGATTCGATTAATCGCCGCAAACCCCGAGCTCGTGATAATGCAATGCATGCTCGTTATTAATACTGACCGCGGGAATATTTGGGGGTTGTGCGATGCTAATTAACTCTTCTTGTTCATCACCAAAGAGAATTCGTTGAAATTATTAACCGAAGTCTCGTATCGATTGCGCGCAACGGTCGATATTCATTCAATTTGGGGGAAATCTGATTTCTCTGGAACTCATTGGTGTAAATTTTCTAACTTTACAATTTTTCCAGATTCTAGGGTTCTTTTTTCCTTTTTTTTCTGTTTGCATTTTTATTTTATGTTTTCTTTTACGAAATTTCTAATGGTTTTTCCTTCTTGATACCCTGCCTTTTTTCCCATAGATTCAAAGATCCAGATTAGTTTTTCAATTCTTCTTTTTCTTTTTATTCAAATTTAATTTTCCACATGCTTTTTTTAACGTGAAAATACCATGAAAAATCCCTTTATTAACTTTTTACCGGGGGGAGAAGATTTTGAATACAATTTTTGAATAATTCGGAATTACCAAATTCTTGACAGATAACGTATGTACAATATAAATAATGTACACCATCAGAATTGAGAACAATCGAAGAAAATCCATGAAAAATGATTTTAAGATTAGAAGATTCGAACTCCGTTTGTTTTGGTGGAAGGCAGAGTCCTTCCTTCCGAAGCCACCTTGACTCTTCGATCAAGGCTTCTTTAATAAGTTACTTATTGCAGAGAATATATGAGACATTCAATACTTCCACAAAAATATAAAATATAACTAAATTCATCGCTAAATTGACTTTTTCACAGTCAACAAAACATCAGATTCCCAGTATTAAACGATCTATCTGGAAAATATTTTTCTAATTGAAATTTGAATCCCCTTTCACCTTTTCGATTCCAGCTAGTCCGGTAATTGTTGAAATAAATTTTCGACAATAAAAATTCCAATTCTTCGGTATTCGTGATATTTTTTCCAATAAATAACCGAAATTCAATTACTTGGAAAAGAGCAATACAATTTACACGGCGGATATGAACCCGTTACCCTTTCCACATCCGCCGATTGTCGCGCATGCAACGCAATCTCAACAACGCAATTTCCCCATAAGATTAGTCGTTTCGTGCTCTCAATCATGCAATAATCTAACGAAACTCGCTGTTCTTTTGCCGGCAATTTTTCTCCCCATCATCGCGTCCTCGAATTTCCTCCAGCAGCCACGAGGACTTCCGACAAGTTTACCTGGCTACGTGAACGAGCTTCGTTTCACCATTAGCTCGCTTTTATCGCGAATCCATGGGGTCGAACGATGAATACGCGAACGACACTCTTCGTATATTCTCTCTGGGCGGATACGGTTTCCCGACGGTTTTCCTTTCGCGTGGAAAACGCTGAAGAGCTTTGGGAAAATGCTCTTCCCAAAGCTGTTTCATGGCGTGGAAAGAGTCCCGGGGATTATTCGTGTTTTTACGTCGATATAAGATGTTTTTCCTATACACTAGCTGGCTTGAATAAAAGGCTTGTTGTCGAGTAAAAGGGGTGGTTTGGCTTCTTCGGGTTTAGTATTAACCTAGCTGTTTCATTCCACGTCCCGGACGGGGATTTGAATATTTTCCCGTATTTTTTCAGAGAAATATCGGTGTCTGAGAATATACGTGCATCATTAATGAAAGTTCGTTATCAAAAATTGGGTTCCCAACACATAGAATTGGAAAAAATTATTTACATATTTCTGAGATTAATAAAAATAAAATTTCAAATCTAATAATAATTATTTCGAAATGGGGATTGGTAGTTTTTATAATATAAAATTATTTAGGAATTATTTAGCAATTTTTTAAATATTTTATATTATCTTGTATATGGATAATATAAATTATATTCTGGAATTCTTAAACGTAATTAATTATCCAAGATAACAATATAAAATATTTAAAAAATTTGTAAATTTAGTGGGATTGATTTTAGATTAGGATAAGATACAAATGTTCTTATTTCGCAATTACGAATTGATTTTAGATATCTCTCGAATGCAGCTCAGTTTATCGATACTTACTTTAACCACCATAGCTCTCAACTTGAACCTCCTGGTACTAACAACCTGCTGAATCCATTTCATCATCATTTTTACAATCTCCTTTACTTTTCTAAATTAAACACGCCGCATTTATTTATCCAAAGCACGCACTCTGAAACACGTGATCATCTTCCAGCAGAAAAGAAATTTATCAAATCCAAGACACCTGGTTTCATCCCTATAGTGCAAGGGGTTAAAGACACCCCAAAAATTTGGGGTGTAATTTTTAATGGAAATTAAATTAAAAATTGCCATAAAATAATAAGAAACAACACTATCTCGGTGCAAAATTCTTCTAGTCTGTCCATTTGACGAAAGAATAATAAATTTCCTCGATCTGGAAATCCGTCCAGCTCGAAATCCAAATGCTCGAACCTCGAAGCGGGATACCAGGCGCAACAATCTTCCGGCTGCCTCCGACCCCATCCCCCTGGCCAGGAACGTTCATCTTTCGGGGGGTTGAATCACGGACGCCGGCCAGGAAGAAACGGAGGACGAAAGCTGGTAAACTGTTGCGCCTAACTCACCCCAATTCGTGGTTATTTCGCCAGCTCGCTTTTTGCCACGAATTCTTCGGGGTTCGCAGACCGAGTATATTGGCTCGGAGGGTAGAAGGTTGCTTTAATAGTCGGGATAATTGTGCGGAGATATTTTTATCACGAGTTCTTTGGACGTTTCTCGAGAAATAAAAGGATTAATGGCGTTGGGACATGGTGTTTATGGAGTTAGGCTAAGAGGAGAGAATTGAGTAGAAATGATGTAATTAGGTGATAAAGGGGTAGTTGCTGCTTCCTGTTCCTTTGATTCATTTGATCATTTTTCCAATAATTGGCAGTACTTTTTTAATAATTAATAATAATTAGTATTCCAGAGATAATAGAAATATAGTATATTCATGTTATTTTCCTGTTCTATATTAGGATTATTTTTATGACGAGTTCTTTGGATGTTTCTCGAGAAATAAAAGGATTAATGGCGTTGGGACATGGTGTTTATAGAGTTAGGCTAAGAGGAGAGAATTAAGCAGAAACGATGTAATTAGGTGATAAAGGAGTAGTTGTTGCTCTCTGTTCCTTTGATTCATTCAATCTTTTTTCCAATAATTGGCAGTACTTTTTTAATAATTAATAATAATTAAATTAATAATTAAATTAATAAAAATAAAAATATAGTATATTAATGTTCATAGGATTATTTTCTTTCTTGATAGTTAATTTGTGTTTATGTAAAAGGGTTAAATCCAATTTTTATCTTCTTCGTTCCCACGCAAAATAACGGCGAATTAAATAAATTATTCGTTAACCCCTTGCAGCACGATCTAATTATGAAATATTTCGCATTGTAGAATCGTTTAATTTTAATTTACACACCCATTTTATCCGCGATAAAATTATAAAGTTTCTTAGCTTTATTCAAGTTTGCATTCAGATTTCGCGCGTTAAGTGATAAACCACGTTAAACGCAATTTCATTTTAATATAGGACTTAGCACGAGAAACTCACGAGTTAACCTATCAATTTATCAAATTTTCCCTAATCTCCTACAACTACGCGTTTCCCCATATCTCTACCAATAACCATGATATAAATAACGAGTTTTCCCCAGTTTCACGCAATTTCCTCGTGACCTGAGATTTCTCAGCACGCCAGACGAATCGAAATTCGAATTTTCCGCCCCGCACGAGAAACAGGAATACGTGGAATCAGTGTGAGATGGGAGGCAGATTTTATCCGGGAATTAAATCGTTTTTAATAAACCAGAAGCTCCGACGCCCGCCTCGTTCGATCCTTGAGCTTGAAAACTCGCGGGCGAAAAGAGAGCAGCAAGAGAACCAGGCTCCAGCCTTCCGAGGATCGGCGTTGGCAGCACCGGAAGCGGAACGAAGCGTTTAACGGGCCGGGATTCGCGCATCGTCGCTCCAATATTCCGTTCGTCACGAAGTTTCGAGTTTCACTGCAGACTCGCACTCGAGAGCACTCGAAGCTCGGCATCCAGCGTAGCAGAACTCGCGGCACAACTCATCACGCTCGCTTCGTCTCGATTCCTGCCATTATGCTAGCTCTCCTTACGCGTAAAGGATAAAAATAAAGGGAAAAGAGAGGGGACGAGGATAAAACGAAGGAGAAGCAAAGAAATAGGGGGAAGAGGGATGGGTATGATCGATCGCAGGGTGAATCATGGGACGGACGAGAGATCAAAGGCCGACACGCAACGGGACTGCTCGCCGAACGATGAAAAATCGCCGATGGAGGGCGCGGCGTTTCCGGCGTCCGGCTCGCTTTGAAGCGTTTCGCTCCCATTCGACGGGACGGCGTTTTAATTTTAAGCTATAAAGTGCGATATTACTCTGCGGCTGTGTTCGTGGCTGGAAAAGGCTTTGCGAGCAAATCTCTTTCTTCTCCCACGCCGGAAGATCGAGTTTCCAGGCTTCTGCGAACATCGTCGTTGACGAGGCTCGGCGTGGAATCAGTCTTAGGGGATTCTTTTATCTAATTCGAGCCTTCTACGTGTTATACTTGTCGAATTTGGATC